TGGAGGCGGCTTCCCGGCCAATCAGGAAGCTGGGCTGCGAGTCATTACCCGCGGCCTGGCTTCCTGATTGGCCGGGAAGCCGGCTCCATGTTCCCTCGCGGCACTGCGGTCAGAGGAAATCTCCCTCTGACCTGGAAGTTCAAGTATGGGGAGTAAGTATCGGAGCATTTAGGCGAGTACGAGTACTTACCCAAATACTTGGTATCGGCACCGATACCCGTATTAGTATCGGTATTGGTGCATGGTATATCGGAGCTCCAGGGAACAAAACACATTTTTTCTCGGTATTGGTGCATCCCTACTGTAAAGGATTGGAGGGTGTAGTTCTGCTTTAAAACAGAACTAAATGCACCAATTTTACTGTTTACAAAAACAGTTCCATCTAAGGCAAGTCTCTGGTGATCATTTTTACAGTTGCCATTATGTTTATTACTTAATCCTCCTGTCCCATCGTACTCCTGACCGGACAAAAACCCAAAACCAACTGGGTGGGTGCGGTGGTGACAACGGATGCCTCCGTGAGATTAAAGTAGTCACTCGCACTCCATGATATTAAAGTCAATGCTGTTTATTGACTGAGGTGCTAAGGAGATGTGTGTTATCTCAGTCAATAAACAGCATTGACTTTAATATGATGGAGTGCCATTATATTTATGTCAGCTCTTAACCAAGCTGTTCTTGGCTGCATAAGGGGGGTTTAGTTCCATTTCAAGGATTCAGAACAAATGTAACAATTTTTATTAAATATCTAATTTCCTGAACATAAATAAATGAGGTCCAAATACGTTTACAAACAGATCATCAGTCCCCTGCATTACATGTAAGTAAAAGAAAATGAACAAACAATAAAAGAAAACTAAAGTAATAGAGAAATGCTAATGGAACTCCATCACACTGTATTATTCCTTAACTCCAAACATGGTAACACTTTCTAATACTGTATCAGTGCAGAGGTCTCTATTAACATCACCTCAGGGAGGAGCTTGTAGACATGCACGATTCTAACTTTACAGACATTTGTCAATGCTAGCAAAGCAACAGATTCATTTTAAAGAGGTACTTCACCCCTATGATATTCGTGTCCTGCCACTTCTCTTCTGTGCCACCACTTTCAAATATCCCAAGCATGTGCCGAAGGTCTCTGCCAGGTCTTTGACAAATGCAGCTGGTTTCAGGCATCTGAGATCTGTGCCATGTGTGCAGACATGCTGCGGATCTCTGCCAGTTGCCATATACCTGGTAGAAAGCAGCGAATCTTATGGCACACATGTACCCCTCGGTAAAATTGCCTCCTGGGATATCAACGCCACAAAGATGGGGGGTCCTGGGGGTGGGGGTGTTCCTTTGTTATTCTTGCCTAGGTGAGAAAGGAAGAAATGGAATAAACTCTTCAGCAAATGGGCAAATGTTGGTAGAAGAGCGAGGAATCAGAAGCGCAAAAGTTATTTTAACAGATACAGGTTCACTTTAAGGATGGTCCCCTGTAGTGGCTTCTACCTTTTCTTGGACTCTTCTTCCCCCAGCTTGTTTTTTGCCACTAAAAGGTAATTGAAATACCAGTCGGTTTGGATAAAGGGGAGCGTGTGACTGAAGCTGGGTATACACTCATTGTTTTTCATTCAGCTTTCAGGCAGAGGAATCACCTGCTTCAGCTGACAGTCGGCTATGCTGGCTATCAAAATAACTAAATAGTGCCTGCATTTGATTGGATGCAGACGCTGTCCAGCTGACAATTTTCCACCCAGCTCCTTTGATTTTTCAACTGAAGGATGTTGCGCAGAAGCTGGTGGACAGGGCCACCCAATGAGTGAATTTTGGCCATCTTTATTTTCTCTCAGCCTCACCCTGACAGTACTGGCAACCAGCGCTGTTACAAGAGGGTGATGAGAAAGTCCTCAGCCTTGTGTAAGCTCCAAGTCATGACTTAGAACTTACACAAGGCTTCTTATCTGTGGCTCTGTAGGAAAAAGGAGCGGTGAGGAAGCAAAGGGAAGGTCAGTAGATGTCGCTGCTGGGGCCATTATTAAAGTGGAACTGTTACCTTGCCAAAACAGCCAAAGGAGAAAAACCCAAACATTGATGCTATCCAGTTAGAGAACTATGAGGTGAGTAAAAACCACTCAGCCTCATAGTTCGAGCCGACGTGTGACAATGAGAGCCGTGACTCAGTCACCACTCCCCGCAGGGATTCCCCCTCTCCGATCCTCCAGCACTGATTGGAGGAACGGACAGGGGAGGGGGCGGGTACAGCTGGCTCTGCCTCTAGATAGGCAGATCCCGCTGTCATTCAATCAGCTGGGTGGATCTCGACAGCATTGTCGGGATCCATCCCGGCTGCGGTGGTCTCAGTATACCGCGAGCTGTAGCTTGCGATATGCTGAGCTTTGGATCAAGCGAGGAGGCTAGTATATGTCCTCCCGTGACCCTTAACAGACCTATGTGGAAAAACACTTACCCCATAGTTCTCCTTTAAGTAGCACTCTTCCTATAAAACATTTGAATGTGCATCACCGAATATTTTCATTGTTGTAAGACATGTGTCTCAGTTCTTTCAATCACAGGGGCTCGGCATCATATGTGTACATTATCTAGGGTGGTCTGCTGTTTTCAGTAAGCTATGTACAGCCCCTCTCACCAGTCTTGATCTGCCTGCATTATATAGAGAAGCACAGAGACCCAGTGATGACATCATCGACTCTGATATAGGGATGTGATGAAAAGGGAAATGTTTTATTTAAAAAGATGTATTCGGTTATTGATAAAGGTTATTCACCCCCAGGTCAGTACTGGCCTCCTGTATAGCTCTAGATCCTTGGTTCTCAACTGGTGGGTCGTGACCCAAAAGTGGGTCGCGGCCCTGTTATCAGTGAGTCGCCACGTTTCCACTTTTCTAGGTGAGAGGCTCCTCTGCCTCCCCCTGGTGCAGCATAGCCAGTTCTCACACCAAGCAGCCGTTCAGGTCTCGTTCACACCTAGGCGTATTGCATATGTGCGTCTGTCGCGTGTTTTTTTACTGCGATGTCGCGCGACAAATGCACGTTTCCGAAGGCTACTTGGATGTATCCCAATGGAAACGCGCAACAAAAACGGCCCAAAGTAGTACATGTACTTTTTCAGGCGTGGGCCGTTTTGTAGCGCGTTAGGGACGGGCAGAAATACGCCAAGGTGGGAACGAGACCATTGAATACAATGGGATTTATATTTTTGAGCGTTTTGTAGAGCGTTCGTCGAGCGTAGAACACGCTACAAAACGTTCAGGTGTGAACGAGGGATAAGCTCCATCTATATGTACAAAACGTTGTACATATGCCCTCGTTCACACCTGAACGTTTTGTAGCGCGTTCTACGCTCGACGAACGCTCTACAAAACGCTCAAAAATATAAATCCCATTGTATTCAATGGTCTCGTTCCCACCTTGGCGTATTTCTGCCCGTCCCTAACGTGCTACAAAACAGCCCACGCCTGAAAAGGTACATGTACTACTTTGGGCCGTTATGTTGCGCGTTTCCATTGGAGTTACAGCCAAGTAGCCTTCGGAAACGCGCGTTTGTTGCGCAACTTTTTTACCGCGAACCGCGGTTAAAAAACGCGCGCCGGTGGCACATATGCAATACGCCTAGGTGTGAACGAGACCTGAACGGCTGCTTGGTGTGAATATGCTGCCTGGCGACGAGTGTCCGCTTGAGGTGGGCTGGGGGTATGGCCGCAAGGGAGCTCCGCCCATACATGCATTGCTTACAGCTCCCTCACGTGTCCTGTAGAGGTGCCTGGACCAGAGTGACATCACATTCTGGCTCCCGGCACCTCTGCAGGGTGTGCAAGGGAGCTGTACAAGTAATGCACGTATAGATGGAGCTCAATCACAGCACGGTAGGGAGACTGGGTGGACCTTAAAAAAAATTTCAAAGAATTTTGGAGTGTGTATGTGAATGTCTGTGAGTGTGTGAGATTGTGTCTGTGGCTGTATGTCAGTGTTTTTGAGTGCCCGTTCACACGAGTACAGTGCGCTAATTGCATAGTGCCGTGCAATTAAGTGTACCACACAATCGCACCTACCATGCATTCTGGTGTGGGAAGTGTGTTGCGCTGCCATTCATTTGAATAGTACCCAAAACGCACCTCCCACCCCCAGTTCGTACGCCTGCACCGGAATGCGCTGTACCCTAAAATTGTACCATAAACATGCAATTGACATGGTTGGGATTTTTTAAGCTTATTCGCTATTGTTCATCAAGGTGACTACAGAAAGAAGCACAGAGCTACGCTCACACCCATTAAAAATTACTTTAATTCCCATAACACAACATTGAAACATATGATATATATAATGAATTAACCCTTGCAGTGGGGCTACCCTGGTACTACAAGGGTTACCTGCTTGTTTTGATCTAGGGGGCTCAAATAAGGCAGATATTCCCCTGATCCCAGCTTCCTCCAGGCTGCTAGACCGGTCTCCGCAGACTCTTCTCCCCAAGGCTCTGACAGGCTAAGGACTGCTGATATCAGGTCCTATTAAGGCTCCATTGACCTGCATTAGACGCAAGGTTTCTGAGGGACATGAGCAGAGGGGGAGAAAGGTGAATGCTGACTGCCGCGGAAGCTGGGATCAAGTGAGTAATAGTTATATCTGCTTTATTTGCGATCCCTAGACAAACCGAGCACCTAACACAGGGGTAGCCAACTCTGGCCCTCCAGATGTGCTTTAACTACAAATCCCATCATGCATCTGCCTCTGGGAGTCATATCTGTGGCTGGCAGAGACTTGCAATGCATAATGGGACTTGTAGTTCCACAACAGAGTTGCCCAACTCAATTAACCCTTGCAGTTGGGCTACTTTTTATTCTGCCCAGAGTTCTTCTTTAATGGTTTTTGTCAGGAATCCCTTTTATTCACATACAAAAAAATGGCGTTATATATTATTATGTGACATGATAATTATATGTGTATCATTTCCTATGTGCTAGTTTCCTGTAGCTAGTAGTGTGACTGTGTACAGAGGGAAGGACGGAGGCCTGCTTTCAGCGGCCTGTACATGCTTCTCCTGGCCCGGTGTGTGAGGCGCAGCTGCTGCCTGTGTCATGTTGTCACTACGGGACGGGGCTCCCTCGGGCTACCCCCCTCCTCCTCCTCTCTTCTCCTCAGGAAACAATATCTCATGTGTGAGCGGGGAAATGACATCGCGGCCGTGCAGGACACATGCGGGGAGCGGCAGCAGGACAGTCCGAGGCCCAGCGAACAGGAGAAGGCCGAGCTGGATCCAGAGGTGCTGAGCATAGTACAGGCACATGAGGCCGCCTGCCTGGTAGGTCATCGTTCGGGGGAGGGGCCGTACAGTGCGGAGTGTCATGTCTATTACTGGGGTCACATGAGTGCCTTCAGTATCACACAATGCATCCTCTCTCCTCCTCTGCTAATGCAATGGACCTGCATTAGATGTGATCACCTTATACCGCAAGAGCTCAGGGGAGAAGAAGCTGCAGGGACTGGTCTAACAGACAGATGGGACTAAGGATCGGGGTAAGTATATTTTCTTCATTTTCATCCCTAGACCAAAATGAGCACTTAACACTTGCAGTGCAGGGGTAGCCCAACTACAAGGGTTAACTGAAAAGAGTCCTGGAGGTCCTCTTTAAACTGTAACTGAAGCCCAAACGTTTTGTTAGTTTCAGATAGTGTGGAGAGCCATTAGAACACCCACCAGGCTTGTATTACTGTCTGTGTCCCCAGTGGGTAGATTCACCCTCTTTATTTGTCCTAAGTTGGCCCTCTACGTATACATGTGAGATAGTGCTTCCGATGACCGCAATGCTAAACGGGCAGTGTGTGCTTGCGCACACTGGCCTGTCCGGCTTTCATCTTACGAACATGCCACACACCCGCCAACAATCGCACGATTCTCGGCGGGTTTTCGAACATGTTCCTAAGATAAAAGTCGTGCGACCTTACAGTAGCAGAGGTCGCACGCCTTCCACGCACCTTGCGATAACCGTACGATCGCGGGATTTCCCGCGATTATCGCAAGGTGTGTGGGCCCCTTAAGAGTTCCGTTAGAATCCCTGGACTCCATAGCTGTTCCTGATCTGTGCCTGGAAAGGACGGAAGCCACCGGATCAATATGAAATCTCTTCACATCTATAAAGTTATTCATGCAGAAATCCAGAACATTCCTAGGAGTCCACAAAGGTTCTTTTCCCACAACGCTATATTTTAGAATAACGTTTCGCTCTAGCAGTTTCCTGCTTCCTGTCTGCTGTTTGTTTAATCACACAGCCTCCTAAGATGCACGCTGATTTTCATGGCTTGTGGTAAAGCTGAACCCCAGCCTTCCTTTAGCTCTTGCACAGTTGAACAGGTTATTCCACTGTATCGAATTTGTTTGTTTTGATTTCACTGCACACAGTGGGCTTCCCACAGTATACATCAGAAGCTGCAACAGGTCAGATAGAGCCCACCTCATTTCCTGGCTGGAGGACCTCCAGCATCATCTAGAACTTTCCTCCCCCAACCTTATTGTTCCTGGTCTGCCCCTTTCATTCATTGGCTTTCAGTTCCTTCAATCACAGGGGCTCGGCATCATATGTGTACATTATCTAGGGTGGTCTGCTGTTTTCAGTAAGCTATGTACAGCCCCTCTCACCAGTCTTGATCTGCCTGCATTATATAGAGAAGCACAGAGACCCAGTGATGACATCATCGACTCTGATATAGGGATGTGATGAAAAGGGAAATGTTTTATTTAAAAAAAAATGTATTAGCTTATTGATAAAGGGGGAAAGAAGCAGGAAAGACAATACAAGCAGATTAAACTTCAGCTTTAAAGCAAAACTCTGGGCACACTTTTTATTAACCCTTGCAGTGGGGCTACCCCCGCACTGCAAGGGTTAAAGCCCTGCTGCAGGGCTGTGTGTGTGTCTATGGATGCACACAGCCACTGCGGGAATGAGCACCCTCGGGTGCCTCCACAGTAGATGGCAGCAGCCGTGCAGGGGGGCGGGGGCATGGACGCTGCAGAGACCCGCTAGAAAACGAAGAACTAAATATTTTCCAAGAAGAAGAAAGGAAGATTCATATAAAGGTGGGCCTCCTAGGTGGTAAAAAACAACAACAAAAAACGACATTTTAACCACTTGCTGACCAGGTGTTTACACCGCCTTCCTGGCCAGGCCATTTATCAGTATTCAGCGCTGCGGTACTTTGACTGACATTTATTCCTTCATGCAACGCTGTACTGAAATACATTTTATACCATTTTTTGGGGACAGATAGAACTTTCTTTTGGTGGTATTTATTCACCACTGTCGTTTTTTGTTTTTTTTATTATATTAAAGAAAAATTATGGGAAATTTTGGGGATCAAAAGGTTTTTTTTTTACATTATGTTAGGAAACAATTATTATTACAGGTCGGCTAGAACTATGAGGTGTGTAAAAAGCACTCACCTCATAGTTCTCCTTTAACTTTATTGCTATCACACAGGGGGGCTAAGAAACCCCTTATGTGATAGCAAAGAGGATGTGACAGGTCCTCTTTATGGAGACATCAGGGGTCTCCAAGAACCCTAATGTCACCTAGGGACCCCCAGAAGAAGCTGATGAAGCACAGATCTGCTTCATCAGCTTCTCTCCAGCGTCTGAAGCTGGAGAGTGATAGCAGAATGCGGCAGTGATGTAATATATATATCACTGCCGCATTCTGACAGCGAAGAGGGGACCAGAGGGAGGTCGATACACGATCTCCCTCTGATCCCCTGTCACAGAAGCACTATGCTGGTCCCGGGCTTGCACCGGGCACAGCGGAGCCCGTGACCAGCGTGACAGCAGGAGGGGGGGCTGCGGAGGGAGGGGGGGTGCACGGGCCGGCAGCTTATACAAGCGATCCGCCTTCTCTATAGCCGGCGGATCGCTCGTATGTTAACACGCATCGCTGCAGGTTTTTACATTTTCAATCTTTTGCCCGCTCAGATCTAGAGAGCTTCAGGCCGACCGTTCATTTACAACGGCCGGCCGGGAGGTAGATAATATCACTTTAGGCCTTGTTCACACCAAATGCAGAGCAGATCCGCTCAGGTTTCTGCACACGAAGTGCAGTGGGTTGTGCCGCGTGTTTTTTTGTCGCGTTTTTATGCGTTCCGGGCCTTTTTTGGTTAAAAAATACCATAGGAATACATTGGACGCAGTTTTGATCCGGTCTGCAACTGCTCTGCACCTGCTCCGCGCTTGGTGTGAACTAGCCCTTAACCATTAGTTTGTGTCTAGGTTACAAAAAAAAAAAAAGTTATATTCCCTTAAACCTTGGAGCCGGCTTGCTTAAGACCGTTCCCTGGAGCGTCTCTCCCCCTCCGCTGCAGCAGTATAAGGATCCTCAAGTCATCATGCAGAAGGACATACTATTGCTGCAGCAGAGGATGAGAGAGGCTGGAGGGAGTGCTGTCACAGCCGGCTGGCTCTGAGGTTCGGCCGAGTATAACTTTTTTTAACTTGGAGACAAACGAGCGGTTAACCATTGCAGTGCGGGGTAACACTACGGCAAGGGTTAATAAGATGTGCCCCCAGAGTTCCGCTTTATGTTTGGTTACATGTAACATAGGGAGTGGTTATTGTTCCTTAACGTTTTACTCTTCAAGCTGATTTACACAGAGGCGTCAGTAGCTTTAGTTGAGATGATTACATTTCATACCCATAAGTTTGTATCCAAGACCTGAGGGCTTGTTCACACCAAGTGAAGAGCAGAGCAGTTACAGAACGCACCAAAAATGCATCCAATGTATTCCAATGGTATTTTGGACTCTAGTTCACACCACAGCTTTCAGTTCCAGTGCATGTGGAAAAACCGCAGCTGGCACTTTTTTTTTCTGCTCCGGAGCGCACCAAAACACATGCCAATGCCCAGGAATGCACTGGACTACACCTGAAAGCCCATTTTAGGCTAAAAATAAAAACGGACCGGAATGCGTCAAAACGCACTGCACATGCAGAAACTCATCCAGATCGGGTCCGGATTTGGCGTATCCAAGACCTGATAGTTTTACTGCATAACAGAATGAAGAATTCTGCATAATATATTTTGTCATTCACCTTTGAAGGAAAATGATATATTTCTGTTGCTTCTTTACTCTTCCCGTTTGCAATACGTTGGACGCTGTAACATAAATCTTTAGAAAGCCGTCTTCATACAGTCATTAGCGCTCTATAGGTTTGATTAATGATTCTGCTGCCAATACGGTTTAAACAATTTGAAGAAGAGGAAAGAAGCACAGACTTGTGATTTTCTAGCAGACTGTGTCTGTTACTTTGCTGTTAGTCCTCATCCACATTGTTTACCATCCCAGAGCCTATAGAAGCGTTCGGTGATTCGCTAGGAATGCTGGAAAATGAATTGTAATTCGATTTTGGTTTGCGTTTTTCATGTTTCTTGTCATGAGCAATTTTATAAGGATCACGAAGTGTCAGTTCTCCCACACAGTTGCACGTTTAAGTTGACCATGCACACCCTAATTAATGCGCCACGCGGACCATATTATTCTGTTTGCTGAGAAATTGCTGGAATTGTAATTCATTGATTCTTTTAAATGATTTCAGTGACGCATGTTATGCTTTTCGTTCTGCGGTGCTAACACAACATAGATTTGCAGAGATCGTTGTACCTCACACTTCTGTATCCTTTCTTAAATTGATGTCGCCTGCACGTGTAAAATCATTTATTAAACCATTAAAATTGAAAGTATATGTACTCACAAATATAAGTTGTATAGCATTCATCAAACACCAGGACGCCAACACTTCAGGAGATCAACACCCTGACTTGAATCGAAAACTGCCTCCGGTCACATCAGCGTCCACAGTATGCTAGATTGACGCGTTTCAGGGGCACGCCCCCTTCCTCAGAATCCAGGATACACCATACACATGGAGGCAGCGCTCTGTCTTTTCTGTTTTTCATGCAATTGATGGAACCCCAGAGCCTTCTGAATGAGCAGCCCCTCAAGATAGTGTAAAGTGTGATTACTGAAGCAGCAGGTGGATTGTGTCAATGGCAACCTTGCGCCAAGAGGAATATACACTTTTTTAAACAAGTATAGAAAGACGCCCATTGTGATGAAACTAGAGGCTAGAGAGGCTGCAGGGACCGTCTAAGAGCCACCTGGCTGCAAGGTTCAGGTGAGTATAATGTCTTATAGTGTAGTATAGCGGAAAACGAGCACTTAACTCTTGCAGTGTGGGAGTAGCCCACTGCAAGGGTTAAGAGTAATTATGCCCAGAGTTTCTCCATTTTTTTTGTTACTTTACTTCCGCTTTAAGTGATACCCGCTAAAAATCCATATGTATTTTTTTTAGGGCTGCAACAAACTAATCGATAATCATGATAATGAGAATAGTTGTCAACTATTCTCATTATCGATAGGTTGGTTGGATCCCCTAGTTCTCTCCTCCACGCTGGGAGGAGGGCACGGCAAGTAGTGGGTGGGTGCAGTAGCCAGCCTACTATTGGCTATTGCAATTTGAAAAAACGCTGAATGCAGCCCTATTTTATCCAAAGTGTCCATACACTTTGTGGCATTAAGATCCGTGGTTTAGAGCAGCGTTCAGAGACATACACCATATGTCTCTAAACCTCTAAACGCCATACACCATAGACCCACAGAACTCACCTGAGACCCCGCAGAGCCCACCATAGTTCCTGCAGACCCCACCTCAGTAGCCGCACCGTCCGCCATAGATCCTGCGCGGCCTGCCATAGATGCTGCAGAGCCCAACTGAGACCGTGCAGAGCCCACCTGAGACCCTGCAGAGTCCACTGCAGAGCCAACCACGGACCCCGCACAGCCCACCATAGACAACGCAGCCCACATTACACCCTGCACAGTCTACCAAAGACCCCACACAGCACGCCATAGACCCTGCACAGCCCACCTGAGACACTGCACAGCCCATCACATACCCTGCACAGCCCACCTGGGACTCTCAGGTGGGATGTGCAGGGTCTTTGGCAGGCTGTGCAGGGTCCCTTTCCCTGCACACATGTACCGCTCCTCTTACCTGAAGCCCCCCAGCCTGCCTCCAGGTCATTCGGCCATCAGATGGTGGAGTATGGGCAGTCCCGAGCCTCCCGCAGCTCCGCCGGCTGTGCCGCATCTCACTCGACCAGTCCAGCCCCGCCTACGGTCCTGCCTCGGCCCTCCATGTTGCCTTGTTTGCCTTGCGGTGGATACTCCCCTGCGAACACACGTGAACACATGGAAATGCGCAAATTCACTTTAGTGGCTAGAATAAATAAATTTAGGCAATAGAATGCATACACCTCTAAATATCTGTAAAAAATAAGTCAAGGAAACTGGACTTGCTGTATTTTTCTTGAAGACGTTTCACTGGACATCCAACAAGCTTTCTCATTCAGAACAATTCAATACACCTCTAAATGTCATACACATGTAAATGTATGTAATTGCACATTGAACCTCTCATTTCTATGCTGTATTTATCTGCCAGCTTCTGGAAGAAAGATTCAGCGTAGATGAGAGAATTTTAATATGCCCGTGTGCGTGAGCCCTAGTATCGCAGTGCTCCTATGTTTGAGAACATTTATCTATTGTAAGCTTTTACTGATAATTAGCACCATGGTTTAGCGGTTGGATTAGGATAGGAGCACAAACATTTGTAGTAATTTGGTGTTTTGAGACTTGTGGAGTTTAAGTTTTCAGGTTTGCAGTGTAGTTTGTAGTTTTGAGGAAGGAAGGTTGCATAAAAAGCCCCATGACATGCTAGAAATTATATAAAAAGTCACATAGATACCATGAAAGAATTATAAAAAAGGCTGTAACATCTACATTCTTCAGGTGTCTGGAGCAGTAAGGGATAATAAATGTGTTGTTATGTAACGGAAACTTTCTGCAACCATACAACCCACCTAAGGTAGTTACAAACCATAAGGTACATTTTAGGAGGGAGCCCATTTTATAAGAATGTGAGAAAAAGATTTTGGGGTCTATTAAGAAAGCTGCCGTAGGCAGCCGAGTGAATAATAGACCCGAAGTGAAGTGAGCCAAACGCTGTTCGGCTATTCACTTCAGGCTGGTACGGCTGATTTCAGCCGTACAACGTCTAAAATCAGCCGTCTAAAAGCAGCCGTACATCGGCTTGCTGCGGCTGGCTATGGGCCGGCCAAACATGCTCAGCATGTTCGGCCGACCCGAAGTGCAGAAGGAGTTCGACTCAGCCGATCCAACATCTGGCAGGCTACTGGCTGCTGTTCGGCCTATTCTCATAGATGCCGAGCAGCAGTGAGTGAATAGCCGAATGCCGCCGAGCGGCATTCGGCTCGGCTATTCTGCTCGTTACTTCTGTGGTACCGAGCAGAATAGAAAAACAGTAAAAAAAAAGTAGCTAGCTCCGCCCAACTGTTTTCTATTGGCCGGGACCGGCTGTCATTACAATGAAAGATTTTCAGAGCCTAAGCTCTCATCCTTATGATGGAACAGCGTCCCTGGTTACCTGGTAACCAGGGACGCTGATAAGTCATTACACTGAGAACCCGGCGGTTCTGCTGCCGTCAGAATTAAAAGAAAAGAAATCAGCATAGGAATGCATAGCTAGATTCCTATTGGCTATTTCAATTTGCAATATCCAATAGCAAGCTGGCTATTGCACCCGCCCTCTGCTGCTCTCAATCACTAGAAGGGGACCCGATGGACAACTTCAGGTCCCCTCTGCTGATTGACAGCAGCAGTGGGTGCGTGCAATAGCTAGTTTGCTATTGGCTATTGCAAATTGAAATAGCCAATAGGAATGTAGGTATGCATTCCTATGCTGTTTTTTTTTTTATTCTGACGGCAGCCGGCGGCTCCGATGTCAGAAGAAAAGAAAAAAAGACAACAGAGCAGCGAAAGGTTTCCGGGAGAAAGTGTTTCTCTCCCGGCCAGCCCGGAGCCGCTATCTAAAAGCGGGAGACTCCTGGAGCATCTGGAAGTTGGGCTGTCTGGAGACGGCTGGCTCCGCCCAGCTGTCATTAACAGGCTGCCAGCCGGCCAGCTCTGACTTTCACCTGGGCTCAGTCGAGCCGAAGCATATGCCTTCGGCTCGACTGAGGCCCTCTGCCAACTTCGGGAGCTGTACGGGCTATAGTGCTATAGTGAATAGCCCGTACAGCAGCCCTTCGGTTCTACTGAACCGAAGGGGTCCTGGGGCCAAAGCTAGCCGAAGGATCAGCCGAAGCTACGGCTAGATCCTTCGGCAGCTTTGTGAATAGACCCCTTTGTCTCCTTTCCTTTTGTTTCTGTGGTACAGGAAATTAAGGGAAATTTCCACAATGGGAAAACCCAGTTTTGGTTATAGATACACTTTAGGTTATGTATAGCAATAATAAATGCAAAGAATGAATATGTGAATTGTTTGTGTTTTAAGATAGGTCAAGAAGGATACTCAGATCCCCATACTGGATATTTTGTTTTCACCAGAATAGCTCATTTGAGAAGAGGCAAATGCTGCGGGACCGCATGTAGGCATGTAAGTACTTCTAAAGTTATAGAAGAAAAGTAAATTGCTCTGCTGCAACTCGGTTGATTCCATACCAGCACCCTGAGTACTATTACCAGATCGCTGCTACTCATATTTTCCCTTTTTACAAGCTGTTGTTACTTACTGTAGCAGTACCTGCTTAGCCATATAAAAGACTCTAATGACCTTGAGCATGTGCCCCCTGCTGGTCTGAGTGACATCGGTGCCTGAAATGGCATCAGTATGATGTCATATCCCATCAGCAATGCTCCTGCAAGTTGCCAGTGACAAGGTTGAGGTCCAACAGCACTGTCTGCCAAATAAGTTTGGGGACAACATCACAGAGGGAAGGAAGAGATGCATAGACAAAGAAGATGAATTGGTGGGGACATTGTAAAAACAAAAGGGTGATCAGTGTAATGACTGGTACATTTTTGGTAAAGAAAAGTATCTATTGCTATCAAAAACATGAGCATTTCTGGGTGATACCACAATGCTACTGTATATACATTATGTGTATTTTGTTTTTTGAAACAATAATAATACATTTAAATAATGTCATATGAGTTAATAGTAACTCTCAAGCAACCAGAAGCTACAGTTATCTGGCATCTATCAATCCCCATGGGTACCGGATAACTGGAAGTTTATATAACCTGATGTTAAAGCTGAACTCCAGGATAAGCAAGTATCGCATACTTGAACAAGATTACTTGAATCTTACGGGTCTATTCACTAAGCTGCCGTAGGCAGCCGAGTGAATAACCAACCTGAAGTGAAGTGAGCCGAACGCTGTTCGGCTATTCACTTCAGGCTTGTACGGCTGATTTCAGCCGTATATCTGCTGAAATCAGCCGTACATCGGCTTGCTTCGTGTGGCTTTGGGTCGGCCGAACATGCTAAGCATGTTCGGCCGACCCAAACTGCAGAAGGGGTTCGACTGAGCCGATTCAACATCTGGATCGGCTGAGCCGAACCTCCGGCAGGCTACTCGCTGCTGTTCGGCCTATTCTCATAGATGCCGAGCAGCAGTGAGTGAATAGCCAAATGCCGCTCGGCGGCATTTGGCTCGGCTATTTTGCTCGGTACCTCTGTGGTACCGAGCAGAATAGAAAAACAGTTAAAAAAGTAGAAAAAATTAAATGTAAAATGAATGGGTGGAGCTAGCAGTGACCGCTAGCTCCGCACCACTGTTTTCTATTGGCAGGGCAGTTCTGCTGCCGTCAGAACAAAAAAACACCATAGGAATGCATAGCTAGATTCCTATTGGCTATTTCACTTTGCAATAGCAAACTAGCTATTGCACCCGCCCTCTGCTGCTGTCAATCACTAGAGGGGACCTGATGGAGAACTTCAGGTCCCCTCTGCTGGAGGCCTAATTCTTTTAAAACCCTTTTTAATTTCTAGTCAAATGAGCTTTGACAGCTTGTGTTTTAGGACATTTCTTTTGAAATGTGTTTGATCTTTTTATCATTTCATATTGTTTTCCCATAAGAACAACAGGTAACCAAAATGTCAAAGCTGTCATTTGCTAACAAAATAGCCTTTTCAAAGATATCATTATTGTAGAAGTTTACATACTTTCTTTTACTTTAGCACAATCAGTATGCTATTTGCATTCGTTATTCCTATGCTAAAGAAACACTGCAGTGTTAGATTTTGTGTGGTGTGGTTTAATGCCATAAACTGATAAATAATAATAATCCATTTTCTCTTTTTCCAGTGTCCATATGGCCAGGAAAATGTTAAGGATTCATCTAGAAAGAAGCAATTTAATTCCTTTTTTTACACATGACAGCCGAGTTCAATCTCGCAGCTATTTTTTCATTAATCGAGGGGATTTTAAAAGACGGTACTGTAAAGCAATTGTATTTAGTCCTGCTAACGATGCTGTCTTTCTAGTTAATATTCTTAAGTAATGAATTCAATGTTAATTGTAATAAACATCAAATGGAAAGCAAATGTTCTCAGTCATTAATGTGTTGATACAAAGTTACTCCATGCTCAGAACATTTGAATTACTTCCTAGCTATTTGTCTGTGCTTTTCATGTAGATTTCTTTCTTTCTTGTACTTTTATTAAAGGAAAGAGTGCATGACATTCTTGAAAAGAATGGGAATATTAAACTGTATGTTAAAATTAATCAGCACAATTGGAGAGAAGGTTTCTTAAAGGGCTACTGTCGTAAAAATGTTGTTTTCCAATAAGGGTATGTGGTTAATACATATAGAGATAGGATTTGATGATTTGTTTTTTATTTCACACTCCTTTATATTTTTCTCCACATTTTCATATTGGCTGAGATGCTGTTCGCTAAACCCTTTCCAGGCACTCCCCATAAACTTTACATTTAACCTTTTACCATGCCGTTTATATTTACTGTACATTGATTGTTTAAATTTGCCACAATGGCCCATTCCATGCGCTGTGCTTTAAATAATATAGTAGGATGGCTTTATTCACTTTGCTGTATGTTATATATTTCTCACTGCTTGGCTGTATAGACTGCACAATAATTCATGTCCTTGCAGTACTTGGGTGTAGATACTATACTGTATGTTATTTACAGTGCTTAGCTATATCCACTGTGCTATAGAACACGTACTCCACCTAGTAATACTCCACCTCTGATTTGTACACTGTGCTTTATATTAGATGTTTCCACACTCACTAGTGCTCAGCTGCATATACTGTACTGTGCTGTAAAATGCATACTCACTGCACTGCTATGCACTGCTCAAGAGTTAAATCTTAAAAATGCATTCAAGTACCCTAACTTAAAGTGACATTAAAGTCAAAACATTTTTTCCCTCCCCCAATGGTAATTAAAGCACTTACCTTAAATTATGTCTCTTAATCCGATCTTCCTCTTCTTTCCTGTCCTTTTCAGCCTTCTCTCCAGCGCTGTGGCGGGTGTCCCATCCAGCACTGACTCCTCTGCCCTTGCTGGCACTTCCTGTCCCACGGTGTCTGCATGCGGGGCACTAAGTCTATAGACTTACCTTGCGTCTCTCCTCGTCTCTCGGCCGAAAATCCGAACTACGTATGCGCCCGCCCCAAGGTGCTTTGCGGCCGCCCGAGCAGTTTCGGATTTTTGGAAGGGAGCACGCAGCGAAGATTATGCAGTATTTTAGCATGCCAAAGCGGTACATTGTTTTTCATGGAAATTTGTTATTTTATATTGTAGGCCTGCAATTCTTAGTAAATCTTAGGAATAACTCACCTAAATGTGTCCAAACAAGAGTCTAGTAGCCATCCCGGATATGATAAAGTTTGAAACACGAAATTAAAAAATTATAATATAATAAATAATTATAAAAAATTATAATATAATAATAAAAAAATGGTCCAGTAAATGGGAATTCTGGGGGTGCTGCGTGATCCGTACCACAGTCAATAGAGTACCAAGTTTGCACATCACTGAGCTCGGTCGCAGAATCGTCGCTTTCAGTGTCTGATGACGAATTTCCCAACGAATCGCTATCACTCAATTCTACAAGTGAATCTAATTTACTATCGCTGTTTTCTACCTGGTCTAAAACCGCTTTTGACCTAAAGGGACGCTTTTGGATGCCATGGATGTTCTCAAGTTTCCAGGCAGAAAGAACAGTAAAAGTGTCAGGCAGGGACTGGACAAAGCTCTAGGGACAAAATTGAAGTTAAATAGTTTGATAAATATATGTAATTATAGCAGATTACATTGTATTCTGTGTATTCTGTGTAAATGTCATGTTTTCACTTTTGAATTTCCCGCCAGCTCCGCCCCCCGCTGTGACGCCGAAAACGAAACTAAAAGTCGGATGCCGGCATCAGCCGGGCGCACACAGCAGAGGACACCGCGGACTCCTAGGGAAAAGGTAAGTGACACTTTTGTGTAATCCCAAGTGTGGCTCTGGGTTACTGCTATTGGTACTGAAAATTAACCCCGAGCCACACTCGGGAATACCGCCAGGGAGGTTAAACCGCTTTTAAAGCGGATTTGGAAAAAAAAACTTTTTGCATATATCTACTGCTTGCTAGCAGTAGATATATGCAAAAAAAACCGGAGGGTTTAGAAACCCTTTAATAGTTAGTTAATATAAAAGTATTAAAGTAAGTAGTAAGGGGGGCGTGGCTTGGCAATGGCCGTGTGAGGAAGTGGACAGCTCCAGCTCCGGATTAAAATGTTTGCTCAAAAATAAAGAATTAAAAAAAAAAAAAAAAGTAAGTAGTAAAAAGTAAAAGTTAGTTAATACAAAATTGTATCTTATTTGTGTATCAGCTGTAGAATCTCAAATCATCTCTGAATTCATGCTAAGGCCTCATTCACACACAACGCAAGCAAAATTGTATATTGCGTATATGCGCGTATATACGAGCGTATATGCGCGTATATACGAGCGTATATGCGCGTATATACGAGCGTATATGCGCGTATATACGAGCGTATATGCGCGTATATACAAGCGTATATGCGTATATGCGTGCACTATATGCAATCCCAGAATGCATCACTCATAATGGAATTTTTAATGTGCTGTATGCATGTACATGCGTATATACGCAGAAATACGCTGCCCGGACGCATCTCTGTTCCATTCTGTTTTTGCGCATATATTCGCTATGCAAATATACGGCTCCATACGTGGCTATGTGTATGGAGTCATTTATTTGCATGTGTTGCATATGGTACAGTACGCACGTACACGCGTATATGAGCGGCAGTGTGAATGAGGCCTAACACTGTCCTTCCTTCTGGAGGGTGGCTACTTTTGTTCCTCATGGTCCCTGTGTGTGTGTTGTAAAGTAGCCATCGCTCACCCCCGTGATGGACTACAATCACAATACAATTTAGTAAACTAAACATGAGATTGTAGTCCATCACAGGAGTGAGCTTGGAGTACTTTACAACACACACAGGGATCATGGGGAAGAAAAGTAACCACCCTCCAGATGGAAGGACAGTGTCAGCACTAATTCAGAGATGATTTGAGGATCTACAGCTGTGCGATACACAAATAGGATATAATTCTGTTAATAGTTAGGGTACTTGAATGCTTTTTTAAGACCTAACTCCTGAATTTAGTGTCACTTTAAACAGAAATATCCATATATGTAACGCTGTGCTATGGAAAATGTAAGTACATGTTGGGCTTCAGAAGCTGGTATTGCCCTGTTTAACAAAAATTACTTATCTGACATCGCTCTGAAGTTTTTGAACACTCCTCCATGCAAAATTCCTTCAGTTTGTAAGATGCTTGTGGGTTTCCTTGCATGAGCTACCCATCTTAAATCCCCCTGCAACATTTCAGTGGGATTTAAATCAGGACTTTGACAAGGCCAGCCTATAAATCTTCATTTGTTCTTTTTAAACAATTCCTTGGTGGATTTGCTAGTGTGCTTTGGAAAGTTTTCAGGATAAAGGTTCTACTTCCAGTTCAACTTTTGCTTTCGGAGAGTTGGTCTCACATTCTCATCAAGAGCGCATTGATATGATGCAGAATTTTTAGTTGACTCAATAGGCTTTGGTTTAATAAAGACAAATAGGCTGTTCACTTTGCAAAGGAATTTTCCCTTAACTTAGTGAATGAGGTGAAGCTGTTCCGACTTCCATCATCCAATCATGTTCAAGCAAAAATACTGTTTTTTTTTTCCATTGAACGTGATTAAGTATTCTTTGCAAAGTGAATTCTCACCATATCAGCTAATCTAAGGGAAATTTTCCTCGCAAAGTGAGCAACCTATTTGCCTTTAGTAAACCAACCCTCAGGAGGGTTTTATGATGTGAAGGGAGGCTTCTGATGTAAAGGGTGATTATAATATGAAGGGAAGGGACTCTGATGTGAAACAAGGGGGTCTCTAATTCCTCCATAGAATCTATTACATTTTAGACTGGGGTGCATATTTCAAAAGTGATTAAGTCAATGGGCTTGATTTGCTAGGCAAATAGTTTGTTCACTTTACATGGGAATTTTGAATTCTATGGGAATTTTCCCTGAGCTTGTGAATGAGGTGAAGCTCTGCTGACTTCCATTGTCCATTCATAAGCAAGCAAAAAATAAATAAAATTGGGGTATTCTTTGCAAAGTGAATTTTCACCTTGTTCACTAAGCTAAAGGAAAGTTTCCTTACAAAGTGAAAATTCTCCTGCAAAGTGAACTGCCTATTTAGCTTTAATAAGTCAACCCCAATACATAAGCAAAGGTAAGTTTTTGGCTTCATCTGCTCAAACTATGTTATCTTATAGTTGCACTAGAACAAGTGGTAGAAAATGCAAATGACCGTGAAACTACGCTACTATATTGTTTACCCCCTTAGTATATATCTTTACTATATATCAAAGCTCAAAGCAAATCTACTTCTTATTTTTAAACCGATAGTGTTTGTCTTGGTTGTTCCACTGTGTTTTTTTAGTATATTACATATATATCACTCTTGTAGAATGCATTATATATAATTGATTGTAATTATATGTTTAAGTAGACAGCAGTGCACATTTTTAATACAATATCCATGTGTAACCCAGTAAAAAGAGGAGGACTGTGTATGTACACTGTTAAATAATGAGATTAGACCATACAAATTGCAATGATCCATTACACTTGGACACATGAGGTTATCCATATAATGTTGTACATGAATTATCTGCAATGTAATCACTCTAATTATCCTGACTTTGTTAACTGTTCCCATTTTTCACCCTCTTCCAAACAGATTCTTGTTTGTACTTAATTTATAATTCACTTTATACCAGCAGAATACCATTTGCTCTTTCGTAGCAGTAAATATTCCAACAGATAAAATTCTACAAACGGTGCCCATTAAGAGAGCGGATGTCATATTCCGTATAGCATGCAGAATATATTGTGCAGTAAGTTTAACGTGCTGGCTAATATATTCATTTATATCTCTCTGACCAGAGTCTGCATATTCTTTTAAATGGAGTTGTAAATAAGTGTTGGTCTCACAGGTATCATTATTCT